GTTGTGAACAGACCTATGATTTAATAAGACTGATCATTTGGCTTCTGAAAATTAAATAAATTTGGTAGCTCCCTGAGAAATGAGCAAATGGAGAATATTTCCATATTTCAAGTAGTTAAGGACCATTCCCTCAGACACAATTCTTTAGGCAGATCACGTACAGAGGAAGCTCAAAGGAGGCACAGGAAAGTTTGGAAGTATTTGCCAATTTCCAACACTCGTCATGAACCACCACTCTACGGATGCCTCTTCTGGCAGAGCCGAGGAGACAGGAGCAGGGAACTGAAATTCGCACGTGCATGGACAGCCTCACAACAAAGGTCTCTTTAAACGGCAAATTCCCGGGGCGCCTGGGTGGCTTAGTCGGTTGGGCATCCGACTTTCGCTTAGGTCATGATCTCGCAGTTCGTGGGTTCGAGCCCCGCGTCGGGCTCTGTGCCTACTGCCAGCTCAGAGCCTGGAGCCTGTTTCAGTCTGTGACTCCCTCTCTCTCTGACCCTCCCCTGCTCACACTGTCTCTCTCTCTCTCTCCTAGAAATAAATAAATAATATTAAAAAAAAAAAAAAAACTGCAAATTCCCCAGGTTTTCACCTCAGTGTTTTAAATATAAACTTTGGCCTGACTTGACTTACACAAAAGTGTTCAAAGGCTCGCTTACAGCACAGGGCAAGGAAGGGCCGCACGCAGCCAGGCCACGCAGTGCCTCCCTCCAGCGGCCATGGTAACACAGGCTCCAGAACAGGAAGCCGGCCCCTCTCCAGCCCCGCCCCCGCCCCTGCGACTATACCCCGACCCCAGGTGTTGTCCTGCTTCCCAACACTCCCCAACACTCTCCAGTCAGTCGCCACCACTAGGGTTGGGCAAGCAAAATGAAACCTAATCATCATACTTCTAGAAGCCCCTGCTAAAACTTTTCTGGACCGACTGTGAACTCACTGGAAACGGCAGATTATCACCCTCATCAACGAGCACCGGAAAAAGCAGCAGCAGAAACAACTGCTACAAATGCTGGTAGAGAAACCTGGCTCTACCAGTCAGTAGCTGGGTGGCCCTGGGCTGCTGCCACAACCTCTCTGAGACTCCGTCCGCTCACCGTTAAGATGGGGATGCAAGTACCTGCCTCACCCAGATGCCGTGAGCACACGCTAAGCACCGGAGGTAGGGAAACTACTTCTACTGAGGGCGTGCAATCACAGCCTGCGTTTCTGGAAGGGGCCGTAAGAGCGCCCTACAAAGTAGCAGACGTGCAGGAGTGCCTTCCAGGTGCCAGAAAGTTCATCTCCTCCTTTCCCACAACGACTTTAAAAACCCCGTCCACATCCTGGAGACCTGGGTTCTGACAAATGAACTGACAGTTCAGGGCCCCAAACAGCGGAAGACACACGGCCATCCAGACACGGGGCTTCTTCCCACACAGCCACACTGCTCCTACCACGGGGCGCCACCATGCACACACGCAAGCTCTCTGTTGAGAGAGACTTGCAATGTCCACGTTCCGTGACAGGGAAAATTACAAGGGCCAACTGCCGGCAAGACACCGACAGCCCGAGGAAGATGAAGAATCACTCTTCGAGCTCACCCCGACCCTGGCCACCGCGACTGTGAGAATCAATACCAAAACAGGAAGGATTTTTATTAAGTTCTTTTTGCTTCCTATGCCCATGATGCATTAGCTGCAATAAAGAGACATGACACTAATAACCAGAAATTCTTTCGATGATGAGGGTGCAATAAAATCACTTTAGGGGCGCCTGGGCGGCTCAGTCAGTTAAGCATCCAACTCTTGATTTTAGCTCAGGTCAGGATCTCATGGTTCATGGGATTGAGCCCCATGTTGGACAGCGCTGAGACTGCTTGGGGTTCTCTCCCTCCCTCCCTCCCGGCCCCTCCTCTGCTGTGTGTGCGCCCTCTCTCTCTCTCAAATAAAATCACATCGCTTTAAAATATAACTAATAAAAGGGAAAACTACAAACAACTACTGCCTTAAGACTTGGGCTCCCTCACATTTAAACAACCCCTACTTAATAAAATCCAAACATAAGTTATTTGATTATAAATAATAAAATATGGAAAACAACAAGAGAATTGTGCATTGATTCATAATACGCTCACACGTAGAACTGAGAATTCTACATTTAGTAAGAAGTTTCTGATCTGTACATCAGAGTACGAGTTCCCAGACGCCTCTGCTTGCCGGGCAGTCCTGCGGACACCTGCTTGGGTGGATGCCAGGACCACTTCAGCAGGGCACCCACTACATGCTGCCCTGGGTCCCGTCTAGAAACCAAACAGCAGACCAGAGGAGGCTACTGACAGCAAAGAATAATTCTAACGATGTAGACTGGGTGCAGGTGTAGGTTACAAAAAGTAGGCAGGATTCCCTCCTGAGTAAATCCCTCCTTCTCGAGGAACGCTTACCAGCACCACACAGGACACACGTGTTCTGCACTAAGAGGAAGTGAAGAGTGCGGGTCTCACAGCCAGAAACAAAAGAACATGAGCACACAATAAGATGCTTTTACTCAGTAAGTGACTGTAAAGGTGAGGCGCACACACGACACTCTGCGTAGGTGTGACAGGCAGGCCCGCACCAGCCCCCTACACGAGGCCAGCTGAGCCCTGCGCCTTCACGTCACCGTCCCCGGGCAGGGGGCAGGCTGGCTGGGGCAGAAACGACAGTCAGGAGAAAGGCAGGGACGAGACCGCTTCCCTTCTGCATCACCTGGCACAGCTCTGAACGTGACCCCTTAGCGCTTCTTTCTCAGGACGCCCGGGGGCTCAACTGGTTGAGCATCTGACTTTGGCTCAGATCATGATTCTGCAGTTCGTGGCTTTGAGCCCCTCATCAGGCTCTGTGCTGACAGCTCAAAGCCTAGAGCTGGCCTCAGACTCTGTGTCTACCTCTCTCTCTCTCTCTCTCTCTCAAAAATAAATAAATAAAAGCTTTAGCTGGGCGTCTGGGTGGCTCAGTCAACTGAGTGTCCAACTTGGGCTCAGGTCATGATCTCGCAGTTCAAGCCCCACATCAAGCTCTGTGCTGACAGCTCGGAACCTGGAGCTGCTTCGGATTCTGTGTCTCCCTCTCTCTCTCTTTCCCCTGCTGGTGCATGCTCCATCTCTTTCTCTCTCAAAAATAAATGAACAAAAAAATTTTAAAGTATAGTTTCTTCCTACCAACAACAAAAACAAAGGCCTTTAGGGAAATACTATTTTTTCTGGTTCAGAGAGATACGAACAAGAGATATTTATCCTCCGAGAAGTCAAAAGTTGCCAGCACACTACCACCACAGGACTTGCTGAGATAAATCCTAAGATACAGAACGTGTTGGTTAGTTAACTTAAAACTTAAGAACTAAGGAGCATTAAAGAAGGTTGTTCCAGATTTTGGCACATAGCTTTTTTTACGTGAAATTTCTCTTTTCTGTGTATTATATTATATTCGCTTTTCTGTGTATTATAAAATTATACAGCATGACTCTAGAATACAGTCTGATACAAAAAATATGCCCCCCCCCCCCCGCCAACTGGAGAAAAAGGCTACTTAAGTAGATAAATGCTTTTAAAGGAAAGGTGGTAGCAGGTTTGAAAGCCACTCTCTCAGAGCAGAGCGGCACCCCAGCCCGCCAGCGGCCCTCCCTTGTACACGGGCCACAGCGCCACACCGTACCAGCCACGGATGCCACAAGGAAAGGCCTATTCCCAGCCATGGCCCCATGGCCCCTCCTCCTAAGTTTTCAACTCAAGTAAAAAAAGTGAGACACTAAGTATGCCTGACACAAGGTCAGAACAAAAGGCCAGAGACACTATAGAACTGATTAACGCCTGGATTCTCGCCTCAAGAAAACAAATTCACACAATGTTAACAGAAGCTGAGGTGACAGAGGCCATCTGCTTATCAACATTTTGAATCACAATGAATGGAGGGAGAAAAAACAGATTTAGAGAAACCACAGAGTCTGCTGAACATGGGATTTCCAATTCGTATCCTTCTCCCAGAAGCCTGTTAGTACAGCGCGGGAGGAAGTCATACTTGCAAACGGACCCAGAAACAAGCGGTGAGCTGTCCCTAACCCGGTGCGCGACTTTCTCCACGAACCGGAGCCCCGGTGGGCCCGCTCTAGATGCCGGTCTCCCCACTGCCGGACCGGGCTGCGGGTCCCCTTCTGTGTGGGAGGGAAGAGCGTGCGGTCTACAGGGTCTTGTGTAGCGGGGGCCTATCCGCGGCCCCTCCGAGCGCTGACCTGGCCCAGCCGCCACGACAGGCCTCACTGAGAATGCTCGAGAACAGGCACTGCTCACATTCAGAAATGCAGAGAGAAATGGGCTGTGCCTCCCTTGTGCCGGCACAGCCTCACTCGAGAACCCTGCTGACCCTTCCGTCCCCTGCAGCAAGACAGACCACCCGGAGAGAAGATGGCAGTGTGGGGACAGTGCTGCTGAGGGGCGGCCCATTCCCCTGCCCCTGGGCCTCCCTGAATCTGAAGCTACACACAACGGGTTGTCTGCTGGTAAAGAAAATGTACCTATTAAAAAAAAAAATTTTTGAGAGCGAGAGTGAAGGTGGGGGGTATCAAAGAGAGAGGGAGACACAGAATCCAAAGTGGACTCCAGGCCCCGAGCTGTCAGCACAGAGCCCGACGCAGGGTTCGAACCCAAGAACTGTGAGGTCACGACCTGAGCCGAAGTGGGACGCGTAACTGACGGGGCGCCCCAGGCAATTTTATTATAAAGACAACGTGATGTTTCTGTCACAGACTGTCCACGAAAAGCAGCTACAACGGAGACGCGTCCGCTTGGGGGCTGCCACGCTGGCCTTTGAGAAGGCCTGGAGAACCACGCAGTCGGGAGGAGAACCTGACTGCCCTGATCGCCGGCCCGTGGGGCGCACAGGCTGCACTGCGTGGTCCCAGCACGTCCCCCCACCAGCCCCCCTCTGCAGACGAGGACATGGCACACGAGGCACAGACGGCAAGAGGCATTGGTGGCCTCGTCAACTTACCCCGCCTGACAGCTTAATCACCCTGACCTTGGAGCTGACGTGCGGCCCATCTCCGCTGCCGCCGCCGGCCCGGTGCATGACGGTCCTCTTGGCGCCGGGCTTGGCGTCCGGGGGCCGGGCCTGCGGGGCAGCTCGGGCAGTCTGCGGGGGCAGCGGCGGCGGCCCCTCAGCGTCGGCGGGCTTCCCGGGCGGGCCTCTGTGCGGGCCTGGGCTCTGCGGCACGGCCCTGGCCTGCCGGGGCACCTTGGGCGGCCGGGCCTGTGGTCCCTGGTACTGTGCGGCGGCAGCGGCTGCTTTGGGCGGCACGCTGGCGGCAGGGCCGTCCTGGTTCTTCACAAGGAGCCTGTTCTTCACAGTGGGTCTGGCAGGCGCGCCCGGGAAGGGCAGGAGCGGGTTCCCGTTGGCAGGGGCCGGAGAGGCGGCCCGCTCGTCGGGCTCGGCCGGGGCGGAGGGCAGGTGGAGCTGCTGCTGCTGCTGGGCCAGCCGCTCCAGCAGCTCCTTCTTCCTGGCGCCCGCCTGCTGCTGCCGCCGCAGCTCCTTCTGCTTCAGGATCTCCTCCCGGAGGCGCTTCTGCTCCTCGATCTTCAGGCGGTACAGGCGCGTCTCCTCATCCTCGTCGGGAAACTGCAAGACAGAACACGCCGGCTTAGGGTGCAGAACTGGGGGGCGGGGGGGGCCACGGAGGCGGCGCACGTCCCACACACGCCGACGCAGGGCCTGCGAGAAGCCATTCGACAGCTGCTGATGGCCTCTACGTGTGAACCCCTCCTCGGGGGGGAAAATCACACGGCCTACCCAAGCTAATTTGGGAAATCTTATCAGAATATGAAAAACAAAATGATGTAAATTTCCACTCATTTACAAGTTGGAAACCAATTAAACCATTCACTTAAGATATCAAACCACGTTTCGAATGGAAGCGGCCACAGTGGGGGACGGCGCTGTCACACAGGTTTTATCTGGCTCCTGTCTGACGAACCAACAAAAGGTGAGTGTCAATGACCTGAGAAGGCCTGATTAGAACTATTGATTTTTGGTATAGAATTTTCAGCCCGATCTCAAACTCATTTGTCACAGAATAATTGGTTATAATGAACAGCACAAGTCAATCTCTCTGACCTTGAACTCATGCACTCTCCTCAGAATCAAAATGCTGCCAAATGCAGTATTGGAATATTAATGGTACATGAGGAATGCCTTTAATATGCCAGCCCCAAGCCATTCTGAAAGTCTATCAAAAAAAATCTTTGAAAAAGTTGAGTAACTTCCAGGATAAGCATCCTGTGAAGAAAGTTTATGAAAAGTTAAGCATTCGTTAAAAATTATAACTTAAAAAAAAATCGTGGATATCCTCATCCAGATATCTACAAAAGAACGTAATAGAATTTAATCTCTCTAGACTTCAGCTATTAACAAGTATACCTTAAAAACTGGGAACTAAGATCAAAAGGCAGCTGAAGACTCCCAGAGCCCATGCACTTGGCCTACAGGATACACAGTCAGGGCCTCATCAGGACTGGCCTGGCTGGTGTCAGAAGCAATTCCGACCTGCTTGGTCGCCTGATTTCAAAGTCTAGGACAGATGTGAAATAGCAAATCTGAAGGCAGAGGAGATACAGAGGTGGGCGTCCGAGCAAAGGGAAAGCAGAAAACCTGAGACGCGGACAGCCATTCAAACGGACCTGGGGCCGGGTGCTCAGGAAGCAGGCTGCCGGGAGAGAGCGGCGCGTCCAGAGGGCCCACTTGGTCCATGACACAGGAAAATGAACACTCACCGAGATGTCTCCCAAATAAGCAAGCAAGACTTAAAGTGTCTTCTCAAGTACACAGCACGTAGGTAAAAATACTTAGAAGCAGATTCGTCCTTTATTCTATCATTACCAATTGGGTGAGTGTAAAAAAATAAACCACATTTTCCTAAGCAAAACAAACAGAAGACCTTTTACAAAGTAAAACCATCTTACTTTTGGTCCCAATCTGTGTGTACGTAAAGTTAAAAGCAAATAAATAATTCACACCATGGCAACCTGCAAGGCTCATTTCACATTTAAGGCCGCTGCTGGTTTCTACAGAAAGCTTCCACAGAAGCCTGCTTAAAATCAACTACTCTGAAAAAGAACAGCACAAGTGGCTAGTGGCGTGCCCAAAGCTCACTTTCCTCATTTTATTTAGCTATGTTACCTGAAAATAATGTGACTTATGTGACTTCATTTCTTCTGAACCAAAAATCATGTCACAACGTACAAGCAGGCACTAGCTACACAGACTAAAAGCAGGACAGTTTTTAGTAAAATTTCTTTTCATAAACTACCTTGATCCGGTCTGCAAATCTGCATGTTTTCATACATCGATCTTAAAACCAAAAAACTCAGCCTTCTTCTAATGCAATCTTTGTAAACTGTTAACTCAGAATTTCTACTTGGTATTTACATACATTTGATAACACTATATCAATAATTTATTAGGAAAATCTGATGCCAGCTCCCAATTTCAACTGAAAAATAACTGATTGAAAAACTATGATTTATTCTTTCATGCCTCTATTGTTATCTACACAAACTTTTTAATTTATTACTGAGATAGAGCAGGAGAGGGACACACACACACACACACACAGAGAGAGAGAGAGAGAGAGAGAGAGAAATATCCCGAGAGAGAGAGAGAGAGAGAGAGAGAGAGAGAGAAATATCCCAAGCAGGCTCCAAGCTATCAGCACAGAGCCCAACATGAGGCTTGATCCCACAAACCGTGAGATCATGATCTGAGCAGAAATCAAGAGTGAGATGTTTAACACTCTGAGCCGCCCATAAGGAAACTCTTACTCTTTCGTTATAGTATGTTAATAAATGATACTTACTATACGTTACTTTTTAAAATATTGTGTACCTTCTACATGCTGACCTCTTCCCACATGACAAGCACAAACACCACGGCTAGCAACAGTGGGCCGTTCCCGGGTGTAGTGCTGGCCCATGCGACAGTGGACTCCTCTCCGTGCGGTTAGAACCTCCATCTCACACATACTGCTTAGCTTCTGCGTCTGTATTTTAGGGAGCAGCTGGACCTGAACCCCCACGCACGAAGCGCCAGACAAGCAGATCTACTTCTTTTACGGGAGATCAATAGCCCCAAGGGCATTGTCCCAGCCACAGATTTTACTAATGTTAAACAAGAGGTAATTAAAAAGTTCATGACTAATATTGTACTAATACCGAGCCACCCCTAAAGGAAAAGTAACAAGGGGGCCAAAACTAAATCAAGGTACAAATAAGGTCTTGGTTGGAAACATGTAAAATACTGTCTGCATTTATTATATGACTTACTCTATTTAACAATACATAGAATTCAAAATGAAAGCCGCCCACACAATCTCAGTTCAAGGCCAAGGTAAAAACGGTCCCATCCCCTAGCAGCAGGGTCAAAGAGAAACAGAATGTAACAGCACACACATGTCTGAGATCAGCTAACGACGGCCCTCGGCCAAATCCGGCACACAACTTGGTTTTGTTGCAAGTTTTACTGGACCACGGCAGCCACACCTGCTGACGTGGGAATGGTCCACGCGGGCTTCTGTGTTAAGACAGCAGAGCTGACTAATTATGAAGACCAGATGGAACGTAACGCCTCAGGTATTTACTATCTCGGCCGTCTCCAGAGATGATTTGCTCCCCGTTAGGAGGGGACAGGCTCTGCAGCATCAAGTCCAAGTGCACAAAACAGAAATACAATTTGATACCATAAACCCATGGAAATGACAGAGTGTCCTATGTGAAGGCTGCTGGGTTCAAAGAAGGAGCCAGGGGAAAAACGGTGAGAAGATTTTATGAAAAACTCACGGGATGAGAGTAAACTAACAGGTACAAGTTTATTATAAAGGCTTCCTGTTAGAGCCCAAATTATTTCTTAGTAAAAAAAAAAAAGTGCTACCTCTGGTTCTGTCTTTGCTTCTTCTTTGGGTTGAACCACAGGGCTAAGTGGCTTGACCTTGGCTTCAGTCTTCCCCTGCGCGGCCCTGGACCCTGCACCAGGCCTGGCAGGTGGGGAGGTGCTGATTACAGGTTTCACTTGCGCTGCAGGCGTGGAGCAGCAGCGACTGCTACTCATCTCCATGACGTGCGCAGGGGCGATGGGCAACTCGCGCAAATTACTGTTCCTGGGGGCAGTGGGCTGCATCTGCTGCATTGGCCGCTTGGTGACACTCTGAGACGTGGTATTCTATCACGAGAAGAAAGAGATTCGAATGACAACTGGATACTTGGGAGAAAGATAAAAAGGCACATTATTAGATAAAAATATGGTAAAATTCATTTTAATTAGTAGGTGATTTCTCTTTTGGGGAGGAGGTACCTTCGCCCTGGTTGAACACTCTTCTTCACGCATCAGTGTTCCCGCGCCCTGGGCCAGTGCACAGTACCGCTGAGGACCAGAACGGGCAAGGCTCTCACACTCACCTACAGACAGGCTCCTCCTTCACAGAAATTATACGAGCTGGCTGCGCTCGGCCCTTACTATGGGGACGATGTTTTCAGCAGAACCGATGGGACCGACAAAGGATTACGAGCACCACTTTCCCGGAATTCAAGGCGGCACAGGGAAAAGAATGAAGCGGTACATCAGTACGCTATGAAAATCCACTCTCTGCACGAGGAACATGCTCCAGAGAGGCAAGTCTTAGTCATGCTCCTCCCTGCGGTTCTGAGCAGAAACACAGCCCAGCGAGGAGCTTAGGGGCGGGAACCGGCTGTGGGAGCACCGAGCTCCAAGGGCACGCAGGTCACTATTAAAGGGTGAAAGGCTGGGGGCGCAGGCTGCCATTGTTCTAACACAATGAAGCCTAAGTGACAATGCACCTGCCCGAAACTCCTTCCTCTTTTTTTTTTTTTTTTAAGTTTATTCCTTATTGGGGTGGGGGGGGCAGAGAGAGGGAGGCAGAGGGAGGGAATCCCACGCAGGCTCCACGCTGCCACTGCAGACCCCCACGGGGGGCTCCAACCCACAAACTATGAGATTATGACCTGAGCCAAAATCAACAGCCAGATGCTCAACCAACTGAGCCACCCAGGCGTGCCCCTTCCTCATATCTTATATCACTAGTCTCAATGTTACTCTAAGGAGGAAAGAAAGGCAAGTATGAGAAAAACTGAGATTAAAAGCAGCTAAGTGACAGACTTGAAGCTCAAGGTCAAAGGGAGAGTACTAAAAGGAAAACCCAACTATCTAGCCTTGGCCCGGAACTCTAACCATTAGCCTCTTTACAGTTATTTAATGGATGACAAGGCACTAGCAGTGACTACTGTCTTTTACGTTTACAGCAATGCACACTGCGTAGTTCCCTTTGAAGCCTGACAGGCCACACAGCACACCTGCTGAGGGCATCCGAGGCCCCATCCTCACAAACAGATGCACTGCTGACCTCCCACAGTCCGATACAGGCTCCATGAGGGCAGGCAAGTCACCCCTTTCGTTCACTGCAGTCTTCCCAGGAGCTCAATGGCGCCTAGCAAGAGGCTGTCCAGTCGTTTCCTCCTGAATTCACTTCTTTATGCAGAACACAAGGACACAGAGGCGGCACATCCAATAAAAAATAAAGTAGCGGCAAAGGCGGAGTGGCCATTGCCCAAAAGTGGTATTTCCTAGCGCTCCGTGTCTGCTGACAGTATCTGCCACCCTGAGGGCTACCTAGACGCCTACAAGTAAGATGATGAAGTAAATACTGTTAATGGTCTTTCTGGCACAAAAGGGAGCTCATTAATTTCTGCAGTCAAGAAAATCAATTTCCTAAGCAGTCTCTTACACACACACTCCCTTCGGAGAAATACAACGTACCACACACGTTTCAGGAATTAAATGGGAGCTGGAAAACCTTCGCCTCACAGGCGCTGCCCCGGAACAACGGCGCGCGGGGAAGGAAGGCAGCGGGCCACTTACGTGCCGGAGCCCCTGGCGCTGGGGACACTGCATCCGAGCGCCGCCGGGCTGGGGCTGCGCCGCCTGCAGGTGAGGCCGGAACTGCGGCTGAGCCATGGGCATCAGCGGCGGCGGCGGGACGGACAGGTGGTGGTGGTGCTGGTGCGGCTGCGGCTGGTGCGGAGGCTGGTGCTGCGGCTGCGGGGGCGGCTGGTGCTGCGGGGGCGGCTGCAGCGGCGGCTGGTGCTGCGGCTGCAGCGGGGGCTGCGGCTGCGGCTGCGGCTGGTGCGGAGGCTGGTGCTGCGGCTGCGGGGGCGGCTGGTGCTGCGGGGGCGGCTGCAGCGGCGGCTGGTGCTGCGGCTGCAGCGGGGGCTGCGGCTGCGGCTGCGGCTGGTGCGGAGGGGGCAGCGGCGGGTGCAGAGGCCCCTTAGCGCCGAAGGAAAGACAAACAACGGTTTATAAACGCATTTCCCGGGTACGCTCCAATTCGGCCAGTTCTCGTAAACCCCACCAGACTCGGGAGGCGGTACTAAACTTTCATCTTAGATTTGCTGACAGAGGTCACGTTACCTAAAACGGGCAACAAGCCCAAAGCCATCATCCTACAGCTTGTGTCTGCCCTGAGTCGTCTTCAGCCCCGGACCCCGGGAACGTGTTCTAAGGGACGGAGCTCGGGCGGGGGGCAGGGCGCCTGCGGGACCCGGGCACGGGCAGCAGGGGGACCGTCGGCGGCACCGCGCGCTCACGCTGCTGCCCTAACTGGACAGCGGCGGGGCGCGGGGCCCCTCCTAGACCCCGGACCTCTTCATTTCCTTTGGAAGTACTTCCTACTCAAACGTCTCAGCAGCGGAGACGCCTCCTCGTCTTTTGTAACAGAAAGGGGAGTGAAGCAACACTTTATCCCACTTCGACAACCTAAATAATAATCCTTTTCTGCACTTTAGGCAGTCTGCGTGTTTCTGAACGCTTGATTCAAAAACACCATCATTATGCATCTTAATGTAAATTTGGGGTACAGGCATAAAGTACGGGGCAAACAAGAGCTCCCAGACACTCAGGGGGCCCGGGAAGCGTGACCCACAGCAGAGGGCACTCCAATCTTTCAAATAAGGGCCCAGCACAGTGCTGCCCCTGGCGCACAGACTCTGTCTGCTACACGGCGGAGCCGCCGGAGGGGACAGGCCGGCCTTTGCACGGGGAGGCCTCCTGCCCTAACGCCATCAGCGCCACAGCCTTTCGGAGTGTTTTCACATCCCCCGAACGACCACTGCTTTTCCCATTTCTCCAGGCGTGGAGGTAAAGAAAGGGCACGGTCAAGAAAGCAGCAGGCTTCCGCGGCGCCCCGGGCTCTCCCACAGGGTCTGGCCTCGTGCCCCCCTCCGACCCCCGCAGGGTCTGGCCTCGTGCCCCCCTCCGACCCCCGCAGGGTCTGGCCCCGTGCCCCCCCCCCCCCCCCCCACCTGCAGGCTGGGCTGCGCGTGCGCCGGCAGGAAGGGCTGGCCCGGGCTGGGCAGGAAGGGCTGCCGCGGCGGGATGAAGGGCCGCGCGGCCGCCGAGCCGGGCTGGCTGAAGTGCAGGATCCCCAGCGGCCCCGGCGGCTGCAGCGCGGGCCGCACGGGCCTCTCCCTGGGGAACACGGGCTGCTGGCCCTGCTGGCTGAAGGCCGGCCCGGGCTGGGTGAAGGGCAGGGGGCTGGGGGCGGGCACGGGGTGCGTGCCGCTGAGGAGCGTGGGCGGCGGCGGCGGCGGCGGGGGGCTGCGCTGCTCCAGGAACAGGTGACTCGGGAACCTCGGTTCGCCTGAAACTGAAGCGCCGTGACATCACGCTCCGCTCGCGGGGCCCGGGCAGCGCGGTGACCGTGACCGAGGCCGTGCCCCTCGTCCGGGGACTCCCGCCCCTGCGGGGGCTCTCACGCGGGGACCCCCCCCCCCCGCGACTGGGCCCCGCCGGCCCCTTACCGCCCAGGAAGAAGGGGTCCCGCTCCTGCGGCGGCGGCGGCGCTCTCCACTGGTCCTGGAGCGGGAGCCGCGGCGGCTGGCTGAAGGTGCCGGGGACCGGCCCGGGCGTGTGCTGCGGGAACTCCGGGGGGCCCTGGGGAGCGAGGGGGCGGGTGTGAGCAGGGAGCGGGGTCCGCGCGCCCACAGCCTCACGTCAGGACGCAGCGCGGCGCCATCAGCACGGCGGGACGCCGGTCTCAAGCTCGTGAAACCCACGCGACTACGGGCCCTTCTTGCCCATTCATCCACAAAGACCGAGTGTCGACTTGCAGCGTCCCCGGCATATTCTTCTCCAACACGCAGTCATTTGCTACCTTTTTAACACAACCACAAGCCACACCTTTACGCCTGACAAGAAAGGAAACTGAACGTGTACATAACACACACCAGCAGCTTCTGGCGAACAGGCAACGGGAGCTGCTGAGGAAACGCACTCCCGCCACAATCGCTGGGCGTGCACCGCCGGGCCAGGCCCTTGGACTCCCACCCGTGAACATTCTTCATTAACTCCTTGTCGCCAGAACTCTACACGGACAAACCAAAATTACTTCCATTTTCAGGGGGCCTTGTAAGTATTTGTGAAAATGCTTATTTTTTGTTTGTTTGTTTATTCATTTTTGAGGAAGGGGAGGGGCATGGAGAGAGGGAGAAACCCAGGCAGGCTCCGTGCTGTCAGCCCAGAGACCGACATGGGATCATGACCTGAGCCGAAATCGAGTCACTTAACCAACTGAGCCGCCCGGGTGCCCCCATGGAGATTCTTTAAAGTACGACATTTCCATTTTTTTGGTGAGGCATTTCAAGAAACCCTCACAAATTTTTTTTTGCTTCTCCAGAAAGAATTCAGTAATTATACATATCAAAATAATTTTCATTTAAGAACATCTTGTTCTTTGAAACTCAACCAGTATTTCTCAACTTTTAAAAAGTCACACTCCTTTCTCATGAACTTGTAAGTCACTTTATCACTAACGCACTCAGCTGTTGTCTCCAAATGTGCCATCGTCCTGTTGCACTGCGAGCGTTTTTGCAGACTAACTGACCTTCCTTCTTGGTGTAACCATCTGTGCTCGCCATGACGCCCAAACAACAGCGTGCAGTGAGCGGAATGGCCCCGTGAATAGCTCCGGCTCCAGAGAAGCCCCCTGGGTGCAGATGTGGCCCCGCAGCAGGACTGTCCCCACCGGGCAGATTCTAAGGGAACCAGCCTGGAGAGCCTCAGGGGCCAACTCTTGGGGGCACCGGGTCTGCCACAAGGTTATTAGAGATCCAGTCCCGAAACCCGGGCTGGCGCCAGGGCCAGCTGCAAGGGAGCCGGCGCACCTGCCGCGCACTGGGCACGAAGCGGCCGCGGGGGACGGCCTGGGGAGGCGTCGGGCAGCTGGATTCAGGGTCCCTTCCCTTGCATCTCGGGCTGGTCCTGCAGCCCAGGGGAAGCCCAGTCAGGAGGCTGGAGAACGGAGTCAAGGCTCAGGGCGGGCTGTGAACCGAGGCTGAGGTCTCGTCACCGGCAACCACGGTGGGAAACACTTCGTTCTGCTTACCCAGATGCCCAGCCCCTGCATCTGTGAGCCAGTGCTAAGGATACTCCAACAGTGACCAACAATTGCAGGGATTTGCACGGATTTAAAGAAACCACCTCGGTAAAGCCAGGGGAGTCAGTCGAGCATCGATACTGTATGAACACCTCCTTCAGAGCAAAGACCAATGAGGACTGGGGCCCTCAGCCCACCGGACACCTTCGTCGCCTGTGGCTTCGGTACCGCACACCGGGCTGTGCAGAGCCCCGACCACTCGACCCGGTGAAAGCATGGCACAGCGAGAGTGTGAGTCCCACTTCACAGCCAAGCCACCGGGAACTCGGGGCACCGGGTGCCCACGGTGACACCGTTCTGTCATGTTGTTGTTTTTAATCAGAGATTGCAATACTCAAGGAAAACAAGTTTAAAAACTCCCACAGGATTAATTTTATTCATAACATAATGAAAATGAAGGAGGGAAAGTTTCAACCCATGACATAAATCTTATCAAAAAGACTAGAGCTTGGGGTTTTAAAAACTATTATTTTTCCTTGACTTAGACATGGAAACAACAGCCTACAGCCGACTGAGAATTCTGAGTTCTGAAAACCATCGCATTATACACAAACTTCCACGTTCCGTATTTCATCCATCTCTACAGAAAACGTTCACTCTGCTTCTGCCTCAGCCAAGACGCACTGTCTCTACAGAAAAGGGCTTCCGGTAAGTGCTTGTATACAAGCTTCATCTTCTCCTGCCCTGCTTCCCTCTCTCCCCAGCTGCCAGTCCAGTGCGTGGCCCAGGGAGGGACCCCCGCGGCCCCCTTCACGGACCACTGAGGGCTGCTGCGTGGAAGCTAGGACACTACGAGTGAGGGTTTAACTGCACCTTCCCATGTTCCTGCCCGGGACTCCCACTGCCCAGGGGACACCGCCATCTTTGAGCATCTTGGGTCCCTCCCTCACATCCCGGTCCTCCGTACCATCAGGTAAGGGTCTCCTGCCCTGGGCACACAGGGACTCCCAGTCCACAGCCCCTGCAATGCTCCTTGCATCCTCTGTGTCCCATCTGCTTCTGTTCCCCTTCAGCTACGCAGAATATTCGAGCATGCATGATGTACTTGCTGCTAATTTTTACTCTAACATGACATTTGGTCAGATTTTCATTAAAAAAAAAAAAGAGTTACAGCACGTGAAATTATAACTGAGGTTGTAAGTATGACACCACTGATTTGTTGAGAGGCTTTCTTCCTGAACTGCGGTCAGCAAACACCGGGGCTCCTCACTCGCTGGCTCTGTTAGTCACTCCTAGGTTAACGAGCTGACCAAAAATGCAGGCACAGGGAGGCAGCGTCAGAAAGAAGGGCAGCAAGAATACAGTGTACTTTCTGAGAAAGCGGGGAGTCCTCTGGGGTCGCTTCCACTAAGCCCTGAGGTCCTGGGTTGGGTTCATGGCTGGAAAGCAGCAGCACTCACTGTGAGAACCTTCTGTGAACTCAGAACTGTCCCCGGCCCGGGGAAAGCCAGGTCCCAGCCCGCCAGTGTTTGGAACCTTCCGCAGACAGCACTGCCCTCTCCTACTCGGGAGGGCCCCGCCCCCCCACACTTGCCCCTCGAGGGCTGAATGTGGCCCAGACACAGGAAGAAGCCCCAGGGGACTGCTTCTGAAACTGGCCCCCCTCACCCAGCTGCGTGGAGACCAGTGACCGGCACTGTCTCCGTGCCTTCCATCCTGATGTTACTCACAATTAGAAGTGGAAAGAGGCTCCTGACTGTTGTGTCCCACAAACATGGCTTTCTTCATTATTTAATATGTGAAGCCCCGATACTTGCTGCCACTTTTCTCACCGGGCTCACGCCATGCCGGGCTTACAGACAACTGGAAAACACTCAGTTTCTTCTGAAACCAGTCCTGAGCGATAAACGCCACGACTGTGCCTTACTGCCCCACGTCTCTCCCCTGCTGATGAAGCTCCCAACAGTGCGGCCATGTGGCTGCTGCGACAAGGCTCTGCAGTCTCTTCTCCTTCCATTAGATAGTTAATTCCAAGTCCTCCAGAATTTAGGTTTTCTCATTATAGATAAGGCAAAATGTAACTGGAAAAGCAGACTGGCTTCCTCTCCGTTATAAGTAGGTTTGCTAACTTTTGATTTGGACTTTGCCACAGGTTGAGATCAGGGAAAGTATTCTCAACCCCCCTTCATCCATTTCTAAAAGGAAGCAGTTACTGAATTATGAGAATGAACTCAAAGAGAAACTGATGGAGTTAGCTTTCAATAAAAATTTCAAGCTGCCTGCGAACTAGCTACATTCCTGGGAGATTACTTTAAATATTCATATTCTAAAGACATGTTTTGTATTAAACTGAAAATATACTAAACTTCACCCCCTTTGGAATTGCAATATTGTGACGTTCATCTCTTCCCAGACCTTCTTCCCTTCCTGTAATCATCTACATCCGCCTGACTGCCGACAGACACAAGCGCTCAAATGTTAGCAATATGAACAAGGCCCCAGATCCTTTCTGCACCCACCGTGCTGCGCCAGCACTTTCGCCCACCTGCCAGCTAGTCCCCCCTTGGAAAGGCGCTAACAGAGGCCGGCCGAGTGGCTGGCCGCGTGCTGGGCAGATGGGCTCCCTGCCGCGCCCTCTCGCCCTCCCAGCACCCCGCGCAGCCTCTCAGGGCTCCACGTTCTCATCTGCAGAGGGCAGGGATACAGACGATGCCTGTTTCTCGTGGGAAAAGATGAAAGAACATGTTCAAAGTACTTATGCCAGTACCCAGCAAGTAGCAGTTCACAGTGCTTGCCATTATCGTCATTTTTACATGACATTTTTGTAGACAGCACTCCACACTGCAGACATAACACAGGGCTGCTGACAAGTGACAGGGCTCCTTATATCCTGCGAGACAGCGCGGCCCAGACCCCCTTCCTGCACTCTCACCCCAGAGTCACAGCAGAAGCCTTCACAGATGCGGCGTCGCCACACCCTGGCCACTCCACCTCCTGTGGCAAACCCGCTCCCCTCCTCTCTGCTTCGGCTGACGGGTCCATGAGACCTGGTCCGTTTTATTCACCTATGTACTTCACGCTCAGCACAGAGCCCAGTACACGGATGCTTACAGAGATTTTATACATGAATCAACTGCCTATTCCGCATAGCAAGGAAATCCAGCCCCACGTTCCAATCTGAAATAGTACAGCAGGCTGGGCCGCCTGGAGGACTCAGTCAGTTGAGCATCTGACTCTTGGTTTCAGCTTAGGTCATGATCTCACAGCTGTGGGATCAAGCCTCACACTGGGCTCTCTGCTAATGGCGTGGAGCCTGCTTGGGACTCTCTCTCTCTGTCCCTCCTCCCCTGCTCACACGCACGCTCCTGCTCTCTCTCAAAATAAACATTTAAAAATAAATAAAATAGGGGCTCCTGGGCGGCTCAGTCAGTTGAGCGTCTGACTTCAGCTCAAGTTATGATCCCACAGTCCATCGGTTCGAGCCCCACGTCAGGGCTAACAGCTCAGAGCCTGGAGCCTGCTTCCGATTCTGTGTCTCCCCCTCTCTGTACCCCTCCCC